ATCCCACGAACTCTCACGAAATATTGATTCACCCCACATTAAAACAAGTGGACATATTTATACGCAGTCACGTCTCCAATAGCCGGCCTTGCGAAAAAAGAAGGAAAAGTTTGCTGAAAATAACCGGAATGGCGTAAGAAAGGAAGGAGAGAGCATCTCATTTCCCGCTGGCCTCCGTGGAATGAATTTCGAATGGTACGAGTAGTAAAATCTTCGGAAGTCGAGTCCAATCTTAACAATAAGTGACTTGCTCCAACCCCCCCCATCATACATTTCCCTTATTCATTTCTTCTTCCATCAGTCGGCCGTCTCATTCTCTCCCTCACCTCCAACTTTTCTCCAGGCCACTTTGCATGAGCATCTGATTGTGCAAAATACCGGTAGGAGGAGAGACTAGGCAGAAGGAAACCAGGTCGCACGGAAGACACCGGAGATTGTGAAGGAAAATGAATTTGAAGAATAGAATTTCCACACTTTATTCATCGGGCGTCCAACGGGGCAGGTTCAACTCGGTGAATCTACTGAGTACATTTTCAATTCTTTTTTCCCCGCATTTCCTATCCCCCAGTGTGAAAATTCCATCGGCACTTCTGTGATACTGGGTCTTTCAGGGTTTACTCATGCAGAAAACATATTTCCGAGGGAAGAGGGAATTTTTGCAGAGTTATTTTGGATTGTTGACAGAATTATTGTATTTTCAGTGCATCAATGAGTCATTGGATTTCCCGAATCAGGACATATCCGATAATTTTGGAGATCTCGTAATATCACTACTGAATATTTCTCTCCGTGCTCTCGATAATTTTCATTCCCCTTTCCCCACCCTCCAGAAGAATTCAGAAGCGAAGCGGTAAATCAGGTTAAGTCGATTTTGACTATTGGCCAGTTTTTGACGAATATCTGGGAATCTAAAAGAGATAGAAAAATTTTTGTCACAACCTTTTTTGTAGAGTCAACTAAGGGTTATAAAAAAGGTAATGAGCAAAATTTTGCTATCTCTCTTAGATTCCGCGATATTTGTCAAAAAATCGCCAAAAGTCCAAATCGACTTAACCCGGTTTACCGTTTCGCCACTGAATTAATCTCTTCGCAATTAGACTATTCGCTAACAAAACCCCCGAAAAACGGACCCTGTGCTCCGACTGAATACCCACCCCTCCTAACAGCTTAGCAACCACGTCTTTGGCCCCTGGAAAAGAGATAGCTGAGAATAAAGCGCCGAGGTGAAAGATGAGAACAATGGGGCATAAAGGGCGGGTACGTATAGATTGAATCCCTCTCAGGGTCCAGACGTCAGGCGTCAGGAAAACTTTTCACAAGGCCACCCCCGGTGATTCCAATTCCAATTACAAGGACACAAAGGCCACGAAGAAGACAGGTAGATACTCGTCCTCGGGTTTGTCCCTGACGATGGACCATCACCAGCGCAGGAAGTGAAGAAGTCGTTGGAAAAGTGAGGGGGGGGGAGGGGGGTATGTCGTGGCAGGAGGGATCAGCTTTTGTCTTTACGGATGGGATTTCTCGTTTGTGTTTTACGACAAGTCAAAAAGACATTCCGTCCTCTACTCATCCCCCATAAAAAAAACTTCACGGTTTATATTTCAATGAAACTGAGGGTAGACTCTTCGAGATGACGAGAGTGGAGAGGACGCGGGGAGGGGGGGGGAGGGGGGATATAAGTGGCGATGGGGGGGTAAACGTTCGGCAATTTATCGATCAAAGCCCCGTCCGATTTGGCCTTCTCGGCGAGGCGTTCATAGGCCAGACTAACGTGCCGCACAGAAAGCGGGACCGCTGCATAAATGCAGAGGTGACCTAGCATCACGTACGTGTGCGTTGCATGCATAATCAACGAGGGTCTCCTCGCTTTGGAGGATTTAACCCTTGGCAAGGAGACAGTGTCCTGGGGGAAGTGAACTCGTGCTCTCTGTTCTACAATTATCTCGTAAATTGGAGTAGCAACAAGCGATTGGGGAAAGTGTGTCGGAGGGATTTTAAAGAAGTGATGGCTTAGTTTGAGATTTTGAATGTCTTGAGGTAAAATTTTTTGAAGTCGTGGGTTGATGGCTGAAAGGGTTAATTGAGGGCTTCGAAGGTCTTAATTTGAGGCTTTCACAGACTCAAGTTGATACTTTTGAATGCTTCAAGTTAAGATTTACGGATACAACTTGAAATTTTTTTCAAGTGGAGTTTTGACGGTCTCAATTTGAGAGTTTTAAGTTTCAATTCGAGATTATCAGTCTCATAATAAATGTTCCGTTTTATGAAATGGATCAATTCTTAAAATTTATCGTTTAAACTGATCAATGGACAACAATTTTTATCAAACTGTAAGATTTGAGCATTTCTCGTTTTTTAATGTGAGCAACTGTAGTTTATTTTCTTTTCTCGTGCCAAACTATAGCCAAACGCAAGTAATGTGGGGACAATGAGGCTCTTATTCAAAACAACCCGAGAGAAAGAGAAGTGCGATAGCATCTTTCGAAAAATCAAGTGAGTTCTGCGCGCTTTAAAATTACATTTTGCACAAAATTATTATTTTTAACATTCGTTATTAGTAAATACATAATTGAAACTGTTTAAACTTTTAGAAACCTTATTTTTAGGCATGAAATTGGTTTTATAAAGTTTATAAATTATTTATAGAAAATTTTCAAAAATTGCAATTTTTTAATTATTTCACCACGCTTTTTCCAAAGGCGAACTTTCAATTTTTTTCACGTTTTTAAAATGTTTTCTGTCGTAATTCAAACTTAGACCTGAGTTTAAATGAAATCATAGTAAAATATCCGGAAACTCAGGGTCAAATGAAAGCTCTGAGGTTCGGCTACAAAAGTATTATAGAAAAGCATTTCACTGGAGGAAAAATATCCAAAATACTTGGAAACTCTCAAGACTTGCAGATCTCGATTAAAACCCTTTGCTAGTTGAGTTGGGGTTTTCGAAAGTCTCAGTTTAAGATCCTTGAAGTCCAGAACAGGATTTTTTTCCTGGGCATGTGAAATTTTGTCGTGCACGTAATTTGACTTTTTTGTGCTGCACACTTGACCCAAAAACCCTTCCTGCATTCCCTCTATCCCTTCACCTTGATGATATTCCGTTGTTCTCTTGTCATTACCCAAGACCCGAATACACCGCTGAGGGATTTACAGCAGTGGTAGTTTCAAAGCGCCCTATAACTTTCACCTCACACCGAGTGACCGAGATAGAGAGGGGTGGAAACAGTGAAGTACCACGTGTACGGTGAGAATCTAAGTGTTCTTGTGCATTTGGGATACTGAGAGAGAGCCGGGTCCTTACCCAGAGTCCGTCGGGTAGTTCAGTGTCTGCGGTTCACGACTGAAATTACGGGCGCTTAATGGAAACCAAAAGAGCGGGGTTGGACACCAAGTAGAGAAGTACAGAGTAACGTTACTTGCTGGAGTTGAGACGGACGGACAGGCCAGTGACCAGTTTTGGTTAGAGAGAATACCATGGGAACAAGAAAGATGTGGAAACTTTGGGGGAAAGTGGTAAAACTGAATTTTGATCAAAGTCCAAGTCAAGGGAATTTCATGGTCTATTTGGGATAGTTGTTGCAGGTTTGGTTAGGGATATTCTTGGAACTATATAATGAAGTTAATTCCATTACGCTATTTTTTAATTCTACAGAGGAAAATTGCGGTCTGAGAATTTGAAATTTCATCGTGACATCGGAAAATTTTTCTAGTTCTGTTTCAGATTGTTTTAAATTGCGATGTTTCGGAATGGAAGAACGATGGCCAGTCACGATCAAGTGGACAACTCAGCTGAAAATAAAAATAAAATTGACTAAATAAACCATTCACGTTACAAATTATTTTTCTCATCAAATTAGAAGTGTTATGGGGTAATTTTCCGGTCTCGAAAACAATAATTAAAAATTATGTAAATAAATGTGGACGTCCGCATGAAAAGGGACCACTTTGTCGATTCTAGTTTCCGAGATATTCACGTTTTTCTCTTGCCAACTCCTATTTAAACCCATGTTAAATTATTTTTTCGATCTTCTTTAGTGTCGTCACTCTTTACGCTATCAAGTTAATTCTGGGCTCTAAATGTTCAGAATCAGATCAAGATTATGGGAATATATATAACTCCAATAGTGCCAAAGTGGTCCCTTTTCATGCGGACGTCCACAAATAATGGAGGACTTGTGACTGCAGTGGTAACAGTCGAGTTTTGATCGGGCAACATCGCACGCTTCGGCTAGTAGTGGGGTTGTAACAGTGAGATTAATGTCTGTGTGTGTTATACGTGTCCACATGCTTCCAGCACTGAATTTTCGTCACCGACATAACCGACCTCGATCAGCTGTTGTGCGGTGTTGTCGCGTTGCTCGACTCGTAATGGCGGTCAAATTTTTTTTAGAGGAATTCGAAAATCAATCGAAGATATCACGCCTATATGGCCCGGTCCCCTACTTGTTCTCGCCGGCGATAGATTCTCCATAGTCTAAAGTAAACGACTTGTGGTTTTTTTTCAATATCTTGAGTGTCTAACCCACGCAACATCTCGATCAAAGTTCACAAGGTCACGTTTCTTCCCTAAGCGTAATGTTACAAGAAGTAATTTTCAGAAATTAATTTCTCACTAGGATGCCCCGATGGAAGGATTAACATTATTACTAACGTGTGGCTCAATTATGAACCTGGCATATGAGGCAATATCAAAATTATAGTGAATAATGTGGGTTTTGTCTCAACATCCTTAAATAAAAATAACAAGTCATCATCATCACGATGATCATTAAATTCTAAACCATAATTTATTCCCGCCGCCAAATTCAGCCCTGAAGCCATGATATAAACCATCAAAACCCAATTCATAATAGCTGAAAGTCATTCTGCTCACTTAATAATTCCTTCCCACGATTATACGACCCGAGGTATTTCACCGGCAACAGTTGAAACAAAACTCGAAACCCGGTGCTTCCACGTTTTTGTGTGCCATTTAACGTTAAACTTTTCACTTTCGTTGAATTGTCAGCTTTATGAGGAAAGTTTGCCGAGTGTACCCAGTCTCATCAGCAGCAACTACTTCGATGTTGTGGACTGGTGCCCCCACAACATTCTGAGCCCTCTCGCCTACGGTAGTTTCTTGGAAAGCACGATGCACCACCGCCGGAGCCCGAGCAACTGTACATTTTACCGCAGGACTGGCCCCCACAGCCACCTTGGGGCTGGAAACTCTTGCAAGACTGGCATTTACACCTGGAAATATAGGATGGAGTAGTTTTGAGTTGTGGGAATTTGGGGGGTGAGGCGGATTCAATTATTCGTGGAGTTGGCTTCGGGTTAATTGCTTTCCTGTAATTTTGGGATGGAACAGGACTGAAAATCGTCGATGATGTTATCAATACATACCACGTATGATAAAATTTAATTGAAAACGATAGACTTTGCTAGAAAATTCTATTCGATTTCTATTGAACTTTCTGGTAGTTTGTTAAAAAAAATAATTCTGTGCAAAATGTGATTTGATTGAGAAATTTGACGATTGAAAATGGGTAAATCCATAGTGTGGCCTGTGCCCCCTGTAAAAGATACTTTGACATCCTCAAATCGAGATAATTTGAAAACCCATTAATTCCCACGACCTCACCCAAGCAAAACCGAAATCTCTCAAATCATTACTTGCAAGGAGTTCCCCCGGGCGGCCCCCGCCTGCAGCATCCCGCCTCACTCCCCCTCCCAGGATTATCCTGACAGCCGGGACCACCGCAGCTACCACAAGGACAGTTGCTCTTTGTATTCCCTCTAACTCCCACTCGTTGGGGCTCTTGGCTCTGGCAAGGGGGTCGCCATCGATGTGATCTGCAGCAAGGTGGTGGACAAGACTGATTCCGTGGTGCATGTACACAGGGCGGTGGAGAGCACGGCCTGGGTGGTGGCGAGCAGCCACCTCCACAGCCACCACGAAATCGCTCGGGTGATTTCTCACGTGTGGATTCACCATTGTCTGCACCACCTCTTAATCTCTCCCCCTGGTAGTCCTCGTAATCTGCAATTTGGGGGTTTAATTGATGACTCGTTTGATATTTCCGGGTGTATTTCAGTACCAGGATTGTTCCTGTTGGCTGCACCGCAGCCGTGACCATCTTCACCAATTCTCCCTGAACCAGGGCCACGTCCTGGGAGGCCTCCGCAGCAGTTGCTGCATCTTTGATGGGACTCGTGCATTCTAATGAATCTTTGTGCGGATATCTCACTGTCACTTATGCGAACTGTCGATTCAGGGTGAACATTGGAGGGAAATAAATGAAATCACGGAGGAAAAAATTTTATTGAAAAACCTTGCGAATTCGCTAGACAGTTCTAGTGAACTTTTTATTTTTGGCCGAGACTGAAAAATTTTGCGGTTTGTTTGGATTTTTTTTTAATTGAAATGTTCAATTGAAAATATGCTATAGGAAAAATCAATAGAGTTCCATTTTTCCGTACAATTATTCTATTGAGATATTTTCTATAGAAAGTCGTCTACTATAATTTTCGAAGTTTTTGGTTTGACTTTTTAAATGTTTTTTAATGATTTTCCTAGTAATGTTCTTAATACGAGAAGAAAAACATAAAAAAATCAAATGATAATTGAAACTGAAGCTGATTCCTATTGAAACAGTCCAAACAGAATAAATCCTATCGCTCTATATTTATTATAAAAATCCAAATCGACTTCTGGTGATAAAAATTTGGTAGTCGAAATTAAGACTCCACAATCAAGGGTCATGAGGGTTAGAATAAGGGTCACTAGGTTCAGAATCTGGGTCGTAAGGGTCAGATTAAGGGTCACAAGGGTCAAAAAATGTTTAAATTTTTTCTATAAAACAACCTCTCTTAAAAATTTCTGAATTGTCCAATGTAAGTCCAATAGAATTTCCGAATCAATCCGCCGGGTTCTTCGATTAAATTTCTTCGTGCGTGACGGGATTCATTACATCATTAATTGGAAGTTTTTCGGAATGAACAGTGTGGCATATCACAAAATTGGATTTCTTTACCATTCCTAGGTTGACGCTGAAATTTCGACGGCGGTGGGTGCGATGCCAATGGTTCAAGTTCTTTTCTACGAAAATGATTGATTATTAATTTGAATTCATGTATTTACGGAGGCTCAAACGTCGGAAAGAGAATGGAGCAGTGAGAAAATCTACTTTTCTTCTTCCCTTTCAATTTGTATGAGTCTGAGAGGAGGTGAACAAAGTTCTGTCTCGGATGGAGAATTTCAAATACTACTCAATGCTCTATCCTCACTTGTTATGCCGGTGGATCGATATTCTTGGGGAGATTCAAGTAGGCCAGGCCTTGCTGTAAAGTGGAGTTTCCGGAAATTAAGTTTTTGGGGATTGGCATTTTTACAATTATTCTGTAAATTCTTCCGAAAATGTTGACTTGTGATTTTGCTTTTGGATTTTCGAATGGCCGGGGAGAAGTTGAAACCATCCATGGACACTTCAGCCTCTATTCACTAACGACCGATTTTTTCACGGAAAAATTTCATTTGTGAGAACAATTTTTTTTTCACAACGCAACTTTTGTTTTTATCAAAATTAATTTCGCTTATAGAACAATATGATAAGGTGATAACAGATATTTTGAGAAGCACGAAATAAAGTTTTTATGAATTATTCGTGCAATAAAGGTCGTCATCTTGAGAAAATGCAATTATTAAAATTATTTACGAAAAAAACTCGTAATCTTCTAAAACTGCAGATTCTGAATTGCTTCAAGGTATCCTTGAAATAGAATTTTTTCCCCAGATTTTCAAAATATTTCATAATATATTTTGAGAAAATATTTCATTCGGTTCAAATATTTTAATTAGAGAAAATATTTCATTCGGTTCAAAATCAAATAAAATTGAATCTTCAAAGTTCGGAAGATGTAATAATTTTAAAATATTCTGCAACCACGCTGAGGATTCCAATGAATAAAATGGCAAAACTACTTGAATCCCCTCAACTCCCAACTCTCACCAAATAAAGATCGCAAACAATTTTAATAAAAAATGTAGCACTCACGGCGGATTAACACGAGTTTTCTCCTCTACGTGAACTTTCCTGAACGACAAAAAAATTTAATTTATCTCTACTTTTCAATCACCGATAGTTAGTACTTATTAGCAGTCTCTTTCACCTCTCCGTTCCCGGTGCAGTTTTTTCCTCAGTCTTTTTCACCGGCTCCCTGGCAAAAGAGTTTTCGTTAGAAGAAAAAAGCTCCATACAAAGTGATTACGCCCGTTATTCTCACCCAGTCTCTTCAGCCACTGCTTTCTCCTCCTCCTCCTTCTGTTGACTGAATTAATTGATACATCAATTTTCATGCAATTTATTAACCAGGTTAAAGGCCATACCTCTTGGTAAAGGTAGCGGCTTTTTGCTTAGTCTCAATTTTCCTGCGATAAAGCCGGAGATTCAGTCATTTCACAACTTGATTCACAACGATAAAATCCCGGTGTATTTTAACTTACTGCATTTTTTCCAACATGTCCGCTTTGTTCTTCTCCCTTAACCGTTGGAATTTTCTGTAAATCCAAGATAAGCTCGCGGAGTTTAACGTTGGGAAAATTTATGCGCGTGAAATCGAGGTTAAATTACAGAAATTAGATAAGAGGAGCACTTACTCTTGAGCTGTTTCCTTTTTCGGAGTAGTCATCCTGTAATTTATTCCCTCTCTATGACAAATTGCCTCTTCCTAAATTTTGTACCAATTTCAAGCGTTAAATCAGAACAGAGAATTTTTCATTCATATTTTTGCCGATCAAAATACAGATTTTCCAGAATTTTTAAACTAAATAAATAGAATTTACGCAAAACAAATGAGTTTCGATGAAAGATTAAGTGATGGCATTCGACTTTCATTTTATTGGCAAAAATAACTACACTATATGCACTATAAGAACAATTTCCCACTTGGATGCACGTGAAATCGCAGCTGTTTTTAATTCATATTTTTTCCGATCAAATTAAAGATATTCCCGGAATTGTTAAACTGAATAAATAGAATTTACGCAGAACAAATGGGTCCCCATGAAAAATGCAAGCTGAATGCACAACTCGAACGAGATTTTCCGTTTTATAATTGAAAAGAGAAATTGAACAGAATTTTTTTTTTTCGCCATCATCTCGTCGGCGAGTTCTTTTTTCCACCCAGTGGAAGTGTGCTTAACGGGATATTAAAACTTTATAAAGGCATCAAACTCTTGTCTCGATCATCCTTGTCAAGTGGACGTATTCCCACGGCTCTGGCGGGGATACTTCACTTAAATTTTAATCCGTTTGAGATTCTTTTTAAATCGTTTCGCAGAATTCAAACTTTAAATTATGAAGTCTTGTATTCATGAGGAGAATTCGAGTGAGGGAACATGTTGAATGTTAATTGAACATTATCTGGAATTAATTATATACTTTTAATTCATTAATTCATTAATTGGTTTTTGTTCTCGTTTTGTTCTCTGAAATTGGAATTAAATTCATGTGCTCGGAGTAGAATATTTTTGCATTGGAAAAAAATAGGAAAAATGAGTAAAAGGGAATTCTCCGGATCAATCTGTAATGGGACGTGACAGTCATATGATTACACCCGCCGGATGATCGACGATCCCATTGTATTGCCCTCAATCCGCGATGAGATATCGGCGCCTCTGGTTTTATCTGTCCGACGAATCACTGGAGTTCATACACCGCAAAGACTCCCACTGTCGCATTTTCTCTCTGTCTGAGAGTAACTCCAGAATACTCCATTGGATATGGAAAACACCTCTTCATCCTGTCGTAAATCAAATCATCCTCATTCGTCCTTCTATTCTCCATTTATCTCCTTTCACCTTCCGCAATCGTGACTCAACATTCCAATTCTGGAGTTTGCGTTTTAACACGTGATCGGATTTTCGAGAGGAGTGAAAAATTTGAGGAGAGGAATTTTATTGGAATGATGGAGAAATCGTAATTATCATCTTTAGGCGAGAAATTTTTACACGAAATTAAAATAAAAGATTTGGAGAAAATTGGTTTCGTCGGAGGACGAAAAATGTTCCATTTGTATTTCCTTTTTTTATTGACATTATCTACAGGGAGGAAAATTTTCTTGAAAAATTCTCGGGCCTCTAATAATATTTACTGAAATATTCAAATTATTTCCAAAATTTTCACGAAAAAAATATATAAATTCTCAAATTAAAAAATAATCAACATCATGAAAATAAAAAAAATCATAAAAATCGTTCAAAAAATTGAAATAATTAAACTTAACTTTTAAATTTAGTTGAATTAAATTAAATTTTTTGCTTCATAAAACTGATTTTCCATTGATCAGTTTAAATGCTAAATTTGAAGAATTCATGAATTTTCGTGAAATAAAACTGAATATTCCGTTTTGAAACGGAAAACATTATAGTAATTGATCCTTTCACAAAAGTGTTCTCTGAACATCTGGATTTGAAATTAACGCGACCAGATACATAAAGCTGATGTTTTAATTGACTCCCCAATCTTTTTCATTTATCCCACTCGATTTACCACTGATTTGTCGATAACAACACGACCATTTCGAGTGTTGCAATTTTCTACTCGAAGTCGTCCGGTCACTCGTTCCTCGAGGTCTAAGAATCCTATCCTGGAGAATGAAAGGCGATCGTTTCCTCGAGCGTTATAGTTGAGTGAATCAACGGTGAGATTCAATGAAGTGGACACCTAATTGATTTTCCTCCTGTTGGACTTTTTTTTCCACCTCTCACGGAATTCTGTCCCTTTAATCCGCCAACGCTAATGGACGACTGATGAATTGACAGTGATGGGATAATACCGATGGAAATTCGATTATTCGCTATAACAATGAGACTTGAACAATTTTTTTATCACAACGATTTTTGTTTGGCAAATTGATGGAACTGAAATTAGAAATTTCATGTAAATGAAAAAAAACGACGCGTTTTGTTCTGAAATTTCACCCGAATTTCTCAGGATTGGCTGAGAATTTTTTTTCTTTTTTTATTATGCAAATATTTGATAGCAGCAAGTAATTTCAACAGAAATTTTCCCTTTTCTCCGGTGGAAAGATCGTTAAAAAAATCCGAATCAGTTCCTACCGAATTCTTAAAATATTTCGACCATTTGTTTACAAATGAAATTATTGTTTAAACATCAACACAAAGAATTATTATTTAAGATTCAATGAAGCTTCGATTTGATTCTAATGAAGGATTCATTTGGAGAAATTTTTTAGTCACATTGCAAAATGACACGTCAAATAAAAATAATACATCACTCTCATTACTGAAAGAAGAACTTGCAAGACCCCATCCACATTTCAAGTGTCCCATCGGACTAATCAGATTACACTAACTCCTCACAAAAATGTCGACACGTACTGTCCACAATGTTGGCTCGGCATTTCATCTCTGTTTTCTGTTCTCAGTGCAGAAGAGGAGAGCGAGTGTAACACCACGCTGTCCAGTCGTAAAGAAACAACTTTGAACCCATGTTGTCCCGAGACCGAGCATACGGTGCCGCTGTGAGAACCAGAAATATCTCATATAGGTATGTACATGGAGACCGGATGGTGGATGAAAAAGAGACAGAGGAAGCTGAATTCGCTGGAGAAAAATTACGACAGGGATAACGTAAAATTGCGGGTACACGGTGAAAAATGTCTTTCAAAATTTACTATACTTTTTCATTGAGTCCTGCGCATGTTTCTCGAAACAGAAATTTCCACTTTGCAGACTAACATTCATGGCAACTGTTGGAATTTTTTTTAAATTCAAGTATCAGATAGAATTTTTGAAACAGCATTTCCCAGTTCACTTGAATTTTTTTATCAATTTCATGGATATCCAGCACCGAATTACAATGCATTGTAAAATATTTGAAAATTCTGGAATATATTTAGCTGATCTCTCCTGATTTGCATTATTTTTTCAAGAGTTATTGTATTAAAATTTAGTTTCGATTGATTTTTTAAGAGAAATTTAATTTTTTCGTGACTAAATTCCTTGAAATTTCAGTGAAACTATAGTGTGATGGAATTTAACTATAATTTTTACAGAATTCTTGGAAATTTTTATCATTTATGAGTGATTTTCAGAGGAATGGCGTTCAATTCCATTTAGGTAAGAAAGAAAATCATGAAATTGTCCTTTAAATTTCAGCAATAATTTTTTTAAGAGTTACATATAATTAAAAATGAATCCACTCATGGAATTCAATTTTTATCCCGAAAATTTAAACAAATCAATTCTTGTATATTGTAATTAAAGCGTGAATTTGTTGATTCATTGTGAAGATTAGACATTACATTTATAAATAAGAATACTATGAAAATTTCCCATGAATTATTAGTCGTAAACATTTCACGTTTGTCCATACGTTCTCCCAATTTCCATCATTCTCCAACATTGCAGAACCTCCCGCAAATGAAAAGGAAAATCTCCGATACCGAATACTTCCACCTTCTCATATCTATTCTTCCATTACCGAATTCCATAGCAAAATGCCACGAAAAATTGTAAGGAGAAATTTCCCTCGCTGTTCAGTTGCAAAACCCAACCGGACGGCATGTCTGACATGCAACTCCCTAACCACTGAATGACGCTTCTGTATTTTTAATAAAATTAAATATTCAAGGATTGTGAGCGGTTGAAGCAGGAGAATGAATTTTTTACATCCCTTCCGCATTGGAGTATGTTGGAATGTCGAGCAGCAAGAAACAAAATTTTCCCAAATTAAAAATACTATTAATTCAGTAGCGAAGCGGTAAAACGATTTAAAGGGATACGTCGGTCAAATTTAAGTTTCCACTTGGCCTTGGGAACTATTAAACAATTTGTGATGTATGCCCGATTGATTTTGCCCCGTATAACCACGAAAAACTTTATTTTTTCCTGCTTTTACCTTCAAAATGCTCCTTGCGCCGTAGAATTCTCCAAAGAATAGAGTTAAGCATCCGTTTTAGATTATTCGCAATCGGTCATGAATAAAAGAATTTTTAATTTCATAAATTTTCGCTTGAATTCGCCTTTTCGCTTCAAGGTGCCATTTTTTTCTTCATAAAAATTCTATTACGCATGATTACAATGTTCAATTACTAAAATCAATAAGTTTTTAGTCCTACTCTAAAGGCGCAAAAAATTTATGAACTTGAAAATTTATTTATTCATGATCTACACTGTTAGAAAATTAGTTTTGAAATTTCAAGTAAAAAATCTTGACTTTTTTAACAACGATTAATTTGCATGGAATTTGCATTGATCTTGTTATTGATAAATCACGCAGTGTGCTTGAATATTCAATGAAATTTGATTTCTTAGGTCCATACGACAATAAAAATTACTATAAATCATGAAAATTCAGGCAACTTTTCTTCTGAATTTTCAATGCATCGCTTAATTGTCATGAAGAATTCAATGATCATTCATAATGAAAAACTTGATTTTATTGAATTTCCAAGATGAATCAAAAAATCCATGAGCAATTTAGTCTGAAATGGAAGTCAAGTTCAGAGTATTGAAAATTCAAATGCATCTGTTACTTAATTTTCAAAAAATTTCCAACAGTGTATTGCGCACAAAGTAAAACCTCAATATTGACGTCGCATTTTTGCACTCATTTCAACAAAAATATTGGACTAATGAGCTTAATAATTTTCAGTTAGTCAATTCGATTGATTTTCGCCAAAGGATTATTGTTGAATTAAATGAAAATTATTCTCAAATTAAGAAAGCTCTTCGTGAAAATAGAATCCCCTAAATATCCCAGAATTC